CTGTTTGTTTTTTCAAAAAATTAAACCAGAGCACCGCATCGCAAACACACAAAAAAAAACAAACAACAAAAAATAATTTTTAATAAGATCGAAACAGTATAAAGGAGAGTAAAAAATTTGAAATAATCTGAAACTGTAAATAGGCCATTTTTAATACAATATGAAAAAAAGCAAAAAAAAAATAAAAAACCTAAACTTTTTCCTCTCATTGCTTTTTTTCTCAGTGTTTTTCATTAGTTGTGTTTTTTTTTCTTGGTTTTTAACTATAAATAGCGTTCAATTTTCATTTCGCTTTCGTTATTTCATTCTTTAAGCGAAATATGTACATATTTGTTTTCGATTTCTTGACTGATTAATAATAAAAGAAAATAGAAGCAACCATACTCGCGTCGTCGTAGCGACAACACAAAAATCACATTCTTCTGTCCTAAATATTTTTTGTGCTTTTTTTATTTTTGATTTTTTTTTCTTTTTGCGTTTTACTTTTTCATTTCATTTTCTTTTTTTTTTTTGTGAACTAATTTTAGGAAAATATTTTTTTTGTTCTTTTTTTTTTTTTAGCAATTATTTCGAAATTTCTTGTAAGTTTTGAATGCTAATCATTCAACCGTCAATTATTCAAGGGTCATCCAACTGTGGTTGTCGCAAGTATAACATAAACGTCATAAATATAGAAATGTAACATGAATTTATTTCCTTTGGGACTAGTTACTATATTTTGTTACAATTTTATGGCAACTCTATGATTTAATAGAAATATTAGAAATTTGACATTAATTTGGATTTTTTTTTGAATGTGTCAAAATATTTTTTCACAACTAACTCTGTTAATCAATTTATAAGAGATAGAGGTTTTATTATTTTATAAGTTGCTGAACTTGCTAAAATTTCGAAAAATTTTCAATTATTTCAGAAATATTTGATGTCATTCTTTCGTTTCCAAAAAAAATCTTTAAACATGAAATAAATTTTTCGATTTATGATGGAACAATAAGCAAAAGTGCATTAGCTTTCCTCGAAAAAAACTTTTATACATATGTATAAGTAAGTGAAATACAAAAAATTATTGTGACTTTATTACTTATGCACCCACACAATTTTTAAACATTTTTTTTACACAAACAATTACGGGCACAAACACATAAATTTGTATGTGTGTATGGAAATGTATAATATATGTAAATACGTAATAAATAAAGCTCAAACTTCTTATTCCCGTACATCCTATATAATAATTTTTTATTGAAATAAATTGAAAATGAAATAAACTTTTCCAAGCAGGTTAACAACATCACCTTTTGTTTTAATGGTTAGTATAAGTAATAAATTTCCGATCTATGTACATATGTACATACATACATTTAAATTTGCAATAGTAACAATGGGTGCTTTTTTAAGCATTTGCCTTTTGAATTCAGAAAAAAGCACCGAAAAATATTGAAATGTCCAATTTCGATTAAATTTTTCGAACATTTCATCAAAAATTTCTTTAATAACATGTTATACATACAATCGTTTTCCGAAGCTTTTAATGTACCGTTAAAGATATATTTAAAAACAAATTCGGTGACAAATCCAAAAAGTGAAATTCATTGCTCACCAAACGTTCAATAACTTACTTAATTAAATAGTTCAATAATTTGAAAGAGTTCTCTCATGTGATTCAGATTTTTAAATTATGAAACAGCACATCTATTCAGGTTCTAATTTTAGTTTATTTTACTAGCTACTAGACGTTGGCAACTGTGATGAATCACGTGTGAAGCATCAAGAACTAAAACACGAAAAATCAAATAGCGAAAGCATCACCCATTACAGTTTTCAATCAATGTAATTATTTATACTTTCATTACTACATAATTTTATTGTACATAAATGAAAATTTTTGTGCGAATAACCTTAATTTTGATTGACATAGCATGTAAATACATATCCATATACATATGTAATTAAGTTATAATTATTCGATTTACTATCCTTTGAAATTAAATAATATGATGATGGAAAATGTTTTTCAGATCATGAAATTTTCAATCTCTTTATTAATATATTGGTGAAAGTTGATGAAAATGTTAATAATATTTGTGACATGCAATATATGTACGTACAACTTACTTAATATAGCCGGAAGAATCTTTCTTATTTTACTTTTAAGATTATTAAATAATCAGCTTGAAAAATACTTATAGTTATTACTACTACACACGAAAATATGTAGCACTTAACTTATAAAAATTTTAGTAAAAGTACTTGTATTTGTGTGTGAATAAATAATATTAATTCACAATGAGTCATACATAATATGTTATTTATGGATGACATTTGCTGATTTCTTTTAGAATATTGTAGGCTTTTGAAACAATAAATTTTATTTTTAAAATTTTTAATATTATAATTAAGTTCAGAAAATTAAAAAAAAATTTAAATATACTTTTCCATAGATTTACTAAATAAAAATAATGTTTCGTAATGACAATTATATTTAATAAATTTTTTAATAAACATTGATGACTTTGACAAAAAAATAAAAACAGAAAGTTCGCCAAGTCATTGACCTCTCTTTTTTTTCATAATATGATTATAGTGTCACTTACGTATATTAAATTGTCACATTTATTACTGTAAATTATTTGGTATCGAATTCTCAGTTATCATTAATGTACATACTTGATATTTTTCAAATTCCGATGTATATACGTACATATATGTACATATTTGCAGGTGTGTTATAGATAAATAACTGTTTTGACATAATTAGTTATTTTATCTTACGGCAAATATGCATTGTAATTAGATAAAATGGTAACAAAAAATGACAATTTAATTTTGTGATTTTTTCTTTTGAAGAAAAAATTAGAAAAACATCTTCAAACTCGTTAGAATCTTTTCTTTTAGCACTTTATGCGTTATAACATTAATATTTGATGCGTTCCGTATAAAAAATATAACATTTGCACTCCTGAATGTTTCATAAATAAAACGCTGTTTTATATAGAAATCCTGTGATGTAGGAATAACAACTAAATTTTTAAACTTAAATATTTGGCATTTATTTAAATAAATTTGACATTTCTTTACAAAACGAAAATTTTAAACAATCTAACTGAATATGTGTTCATAACTATACCCTTTGTACCTTTTTTTTATACAAATGTGGTAAAATAATTGGGAGAGGTATATACGTTTAGATTATATTTATATTATTCGCCTGTTAATGCAACGCTATAATTATTGTTTGGTATCGGCAACATTATGCGAAAACCATGAGTATGACATTTAAGTAATTTGACATTAAAACATAAATTTGACAGTTAAAATAAATTTGTATTGTTTGTCACATTAAAAATGAAATAATTTTTGTAACTTATTCTTTCATTAATGTAGAAAAATTTTTTTACTGACTAATAGTAAACATCTATTGGCTGCCTGAATTGAAAACTGAATTGGAAAGTAAACGTCTGCGAGATATTTACATAACTCAATTTTCTTTGCTTTGCATTTCTTTCAAACTCTTCACAGTTGAACGCTCCTCTTGCAAAATTTTATATAATTTTTCTGTAAACAAATGGACATTTTATACAATTTTTGATAAGAGGTTTAATTTTTTTTTACTCCCAGATTTCCTATAGTTATCAGAATTTACACACTTGTGTATGTATGTTTACGCTCACCAGTTTTCAAATTAACATTGAAGAACTTCTAAAGCTTCTAAAATTTAATCAGTTTTAATGTTATTTTTTTTGCTTTGCCTTTTAATTTTGTTTATGTTATTCAAACACAACCAAAACTTAGAAAAAATTTATAATTATAATTACAAAAAAAAAGAGCAAATAATAATAAAATTCTTGACCCATTCGTTTCTATTTGGTCTTTGGGAGATGATCATTTTGGTTTATTTTTCTTTACTTTTTGTTTTCTCTGCTCTATTAAGATTAACTAAAAGTTTTAAGGGGTAAAGAGGTCAAATTTTCTTGCATACATACATACATAAGTAGTATGGTGGATTTTTAAATTTTAATATTTTATACTTTGTTGTACATAATATAAAGATTTTTAAAGTCACATCATCCAGTAATTAATGAGTGAACTACTCTAATAAAATCACAGTTTGTTAATAACATACATACATAGGTGGTGGTGATATGGTGTTACTTTTTTCTATTATTTTCTTATTTTTCTAGTTATGAAATAAATTAACGTTAAAAAAAAACTTAAAGAGTTGCAATTAAACCACATTTTAACACATACAAATTATTAACGATAAAATGTAATCATAATGATGATTATTTACTGTTAATGTCGGCAGGTTACTGTTAAATGTAGGTCATATCTTGTTAAATTAACATCAATTACTTAATACACTTATACCTTGATTTACTTTTATGTGGTCGATCCGTAAAACAAGCAACATAATTTTCGTATTGGACAAATTCTGAAATAAAATCTTACGAAATTTTCATATTCTATGGTTGTATGTATGTATAATAATAATGTGCCAGTCCGAAATTAATGCAAGTACTTTTAAGTTGGAAACTCGAAAAACAAAAGCAGATAAGTTTATATTTTAATTATAGAAATGAAAATTCTAAATTGTCCACCATATTAATATAAATTGCATTCAGTTTCATAACAATTACAGTTCATGCAAAATTCAAACTTCAATGCTCTCATCAACTCTACTTTTCATATCTACTTTTGTAAATCTACATTTATATACATATATTTTTGAGTAAAGGTGTAACACTTAGGGTTAAACAAATTAATTTTGTTTTTGATTAAATTTTTTATGACTTTTGCATCTGTTTTTAAATGAATAATTAAATTTAAAATTTATGATTAAAAAAAAAAAAATTATATTTAAATTTAAAAAAAAATTGTTTCTGGCATTTGGAACAGGTGAAGAATTCAAGAATATTTTGTTGATTTATTATTTAATTGTGTTAAAAAAAGAGAAAAAATAAAAAAAACCATTTTTCTATTTTGCATTTGTAACTACTCACCTTTTGTAATTTTGCAATTATTTAATCTGAAAATATAAAAATAAAATGCAATTAATATTTTAGTTTTTTTTTTTTAATTATTAGGTTTTATATTTTTAGGAGGTTTAAATCTGTGGAGGAGGCTTCCTTAATGTTAAAAACAGAGATTTTCCAAGAACAACACTAAATGAAATTTTCTGGCAGGAAGTAGCCACATTTGGTCGTTTAGATTTGAGATTAATTAGTTTGTGTATTCACTGAATATTGCCTGTCGTTGGTCCATCTGAAAAGAATGGGTAAGACAAAAGCAAAGTATGCTGTCTCTACCTGGAAGACGGGGAAGAAAAGAAGGTGAAGCACTTATTGTAAGAATAAAAGGACGGTAGCTCTTCTACGACTGAGAAGTTTCGGAAGGGGTTTTGTGGCCTCAATGGAAGTCCCGCGGCTTGAGGTGTGATTTCCAAATTATTTGTTCAGATTGTTCGACTTATTTTTTACAAGTTTAATAAAAATATTACAATTTATTATAGTTCTGACTAAACTATATAAAATATTTTAAATACATAAAAATATTTAATCTTTTATTCTTAATAATCAATTCGACTTTGATTAATGTTACGCGTAAACCCAAAATATTCCAAATTCATAAAATTAAAGTAAATGAAGAAACGAGAAATTAATTTGAAATAAAAAAAAAATTAGCTCAAATAATGACTTCATAATATTCCCAAAAAAAAAAAAAAATTGGGTAGCATTTTTTTCGTGTTTTGCTTTTGTATTATGACTGTTTTCGGATATATTTTAATCACCTACTACTACCACCAACTGCTATCACTCTTTTAAGTCAAGCTTTTTTTTTTGTTGTAAGCATTTTGTTATACAAATATACTTACATATGTATGTACCTATATATATTTTTTTGTTATTAACCATTATCACAATTGAATTGAATTTAACCACCCCTAAAATAATTTTTATTAATTAATTCGCAAAAGATTTCCAAATATAATATTTTTTTTTTGTTATTTTTATAGTTGTGTGGTTTATTATTTTACCAGTATTTGAAATGTATTATAAATTTGCCACTCCACTATTATGTTAATTAGATGTAAAGTCTTAATTGTAAACTAATTTAAATTCAGAATTTAAAACTAAATTAATTCAAGTCGAATTCATTGGCTCGTTCTACTACGTGCACGCACAGAAGTAATGTGCGAGCTCATTATCAAAATTTGAATTTCTCTCATTTGCTATATTTTGTGCGTAGCTGTTTATTATTTTCAGAATTAACTTCAACATCAGTACGGATGTTTTTGAAAATGTCATTTTATACATCAAAAAGTTAACGTAAAAATGAAATCAATTAATATCAAAAAAGTAAGTAAGTAAAACAAGCTCAGACAAGATAATGCACCTCCATGAGAGAAATGAGAGCGTCTTTAAAACGAGATCGAGTTAATTCGACGTAACAATGAATTCACCATTAGTCAATCATTTATGATTTCAGTCTGTTCAACATGAATCAAGATTTTTTTTATTTATACCATAAATAAGAATTAGTAAAGTTACAGTTACTAATTAGTTAGTCACAAAAATATTTAGCTAGAATAACATTTAATCTTTCAATGAGTTAATTTATTACTATGAAAATCTACTGTTCATGACAATTTTACTGTTCAATCATATGCAATAACATAGGATTTATGAATCTCTAAATTACTTTTAAGGATTTAATTTATTTTAACAAAATAATTTTTATTTTAATTCAAAATAAAAATCATTGAGTCATTTATTTTCATATACCATATAAATGACATTTACTTATAAATTTAATTCTCATGGACACTTTCTTGTAATTGTATGAGTGTAGAATGAAAAACAATAATAAGAAAATATTAAATAAAATAAATAAAAAAGCAAAAATCCATAGAAATTTTTTTTAACACATAATTCGCTTAACGCCGGAAAAAAAAAACATTATTTTTTTAATCTCTGATAGCGTTTTGTTTTTAAAGTTCATATTATACACACTTACACAGTAAATATTAATAAAGTAAGTGTAAAGTTATTTACAAATAAAAGAACAATAGAAACCTCAAATATACAGGGTTTCTAATTACAATGCTTATGCTTATAATGCTTTTATGACAAAAATTATGAGCGAAAATTATAAAAATAACTTTTAAAATCCATATATGAAGAAGTTTAACAGACAACAATAAAAAAAATAAAAAAAATTATTATGGAATTTGAAAACATCAAATTTTTTATTAAGCTTAAGAAAAACACACAGTACATATCTAATATACGTATATCTAATTAATATATCCAAAATTCAGGTTCAGTAAGTTTTTTTTTCGTTTAATGAATATTCAAACTTTACCTCAACTGATTAGACGCACGAATTAACTATTATGATCCGCATATTTAAGGTTCTAAACCCTGGTTTTAAAAACATATTAGGAAAACGAAACCTGACTGACGACCACCTTATTAAAAGAATGAATATCACGTTCGTCATATCACGCCTTTAGCTTAAAGTAGGTAAATCAATTAATTTGAGCCTGTTGTTATAACGAGGAAGAAAAATAGAGTTTTCCAAAGGAAGGTTGTGACGGAAGCGCATATTTTAACTAATTGAATCCACTTAATCCTATTAATATGAATACTGTAATAATATTATCAAACCTTTGAGATATATTCTAGATGAGAACAGACCAGGAACAAATTTCAAAATGTAGGAGTTGTTAAACTCCTTAAATTAGCGTTTAAAAAATTCCGATATAGCGTGTGCCCTGCCAGTCATATACATATATGTAGTTGGAGTGATTAGTGAATGATGACTTGTTGTAAATGAAAATTTCTATGTCTTTAAGTGAATCAACTTTTCTAAGAATTTGGCTATTTATGTCATGACTTCATTTATTTGTTTATAAAAAAACAAAATTATCCCAAGTTTATAACAGCAATTAAAGGTATGTATTAGTAGGCACGAAAAATTGTTAACATACTTATGTACATGAAAATATACTGTAGTTCAATGTAAATTTTATCTTCTATGTACATTAAACATTTATTTACATGAAATAGTTATAATTTTTTTTTAAAAACGCTATTATATAATTATACTATATTAAAAATAAAATACAAAGCCCCCTTCATATAATAATTTTTATTTGTAATTATTTTTAAATAAATAAAAAAAAAATTCTGATATTTCATTTAAAGAATAGAATGAAAATATCATGACAAAAATTATCGAAAACAAATGTATGAGAAGTGTGTTACCGTTTATGTGCAAAAAATTTTTATACCCACTTTAAGATATTGACACTCTCGGTCGGTTGAAAAACCTTGAATGTAATTACAAAAAAAAAAAAAATTACACAATTTATTCTGTTTTTTTTTTGTGCTTTGCTTCTAAAATTGGCAATAATTTTTGCGATATTAATTTTTATTTGGCATAAATTGAAATAGATTTTTGTTTGTGTATTTCTTCTTACATCTGAAAAAATGTTGTAGCAGTTGACCGTATTAACATGTGTGTATGTATGTATAACAGAACAAACGCGGAAAAGAAAATAAAAAAAAAATTAAAGCTTTTTGTTTTTTATTTTATTTACATAAAGTATTTTCGCTGTTTTATTTATAATTAGTAACCTTAGAATAAAGCGAGTTTTCATATTGTGTGCTTTTGAACTAATTAAAAAAAATTATATGAGTACTTGCCGCCGAACATATGTAAATACATATACGTATATTTTTTGAATTCTTCGGATAGTAGTCTTTAAAAAAAGACGAATTAAATTTATGATTTTTTTTTTAACAAACAAAGTTGGATGAACTCTCTAGGCTACTAAAAATTGATTTAACTGATGTCATTTGAATAATTTTAAATTAAAATAATCAAGTTATATTAATTTAATTTAAATCAATAAACGATTCTCTTCGGCACATAGTATTCATACTGTCATTCTTTTAAGAATTGAAGTATAAACTGAAGTATAACAAAAAAAAATTAAAAATAAATAATAAAATAAAATTAGGTGGTAAATGACACCGAATCAAGTCAGTTTCGTTTTTAAAAAATAAAAAAAAAGTGTTCCAAAAAAAAAAACAAATTTATTATAGAAGAGAAAAAGGTATAATTAATATAAGATTGCTATAATTAATTAAGATATAAAATAATGAGGACATATTTACATACATGTATATTGGTACATATACTGGTCGAAAGAGAACTTCGGTCAATGAATTAAAAGATATAAATAATTGTTTTTTTGTTTATTCAGGAAATTATGTGACAACAATATTTTGTGTCAAAATTAAGTACAGTTTCTCCATTTTGAAATTAATGTCATGTAATATTAAGTATTAATTTGTGAATAGAACAATATATAGGAATTTAGAATTTAAAAAATTTTTACCATTTTTTAGTTGTTTTTCTGTTTTGGTAAGTTCACGAACATTTGAAATAATTTTTTAATAAATTAATTTAAAAATGAATTAAAACACGACTGACTCTAAGAATGCAAAATTTCCATTGAAAGTTATCGAATTTGAAATATAACAGGCTTTTTAACCTCAGTTATTCTCAACCCTTTTCAGATTACGATATATGAATATTAATTTTTTCCTCTATATACATAAAATTACCGAATACATACATAATTATGTATAAGTTAAGTTGTATAGTTATGTTTTTGAATTTTCAGAATTCAGAAGTTGAATTTTCGCAGTTGTCAATCGATATTTAATGTCTTGACTAACTCTCCGGTCAAATTCAAATTTTCAACTAGATTTCCCTTTTTTATTTTCTTAACTTTGTGAAATAATGGAGAAAAAAATTTGAAGAGACAACACATTTACCTGAAATCCTGAACACATATACCTGAATTAACACAGCTCAAGAAACGTGAGGGTAGATAAGTTAAAAATAATTATTAAAACAAAAATTATGTACATATGTATATGTATTTGGATTATTAATTTAAGAAAAATATTTTTTAGTTGATTTGATGCTCGCTTATTTACTCATACATATATG